ATATGCACGAGGCATGATCTCTTACACATGCATATGATGTGTTATGCTTCAATATGAATGATGAAATGAATGATATGAATTAAACAATTTGCAACACATATGAATATATAATCATGCATGAGTTTATTTGGTTGAAACATGATTAAAATATCATTTATTAAGCTACGGGGCTCGAAATGGTCGACCGTTTGACACGGCGGTCGACAGTGGCTCAATTCATCTCGAAGAAACGCAATCACCGTGACAGTCGACCGTGCCTGACCGGCGGTCGACCGTTGTTGACTGTTTGAGTTTTGCTGCGTTCGACTAAGCTTTGGCGGTTGACCATTTGGCTACGGTGGTCGACCGTTCTGTTGACAGTCATAGCTTGTTTTGAAGATTAATAAGGCGGTCGACCATTTGCGTCGATCATTCGGGTCTACAAAACTTATTCTTGATATGTTGAGTGTCTAAAATACTTCTTTAAGTCTTTTAAAAACCTTTGATTAATATATACATGTTATTGGGTTGTTTTCCAATTTTTATAATTGCTTATGTATATATATTAAGTTTATGGATTTCGTGTATTTAGATTTTTACACATAGGTGACTTATATATGTATCGCATATATATTTGGGATGATTTCAACAAATAGATCAATATATATGTTCATGTATGTATGTGATGAATGATTCGACACGTTTAACGCAAGGGTACAAACCTGGAAATCAATGGCCGAAACCTTGCAAACAAACGGGAGTGAAAACAACATCGAAATTCACCAATTTTGTCATTCTCGTCACAATTGGACAGCCTGCCGTGTTTTGGGCATATCTCCATCATTTCTTCATGGAATTGCAAACTAATTGATTCTGTGGATTCCTGATATGTAAGGCTAAAACTTTTGTATAGAAATTATTTCGAGTTAACAGATGTAAGATAGCGTAAATCGGACCTAAAGTCAAGAGACAATTGCTGTCCAGGATTTCGGATATGTTGATGAACGACGATTCCGACGATTAACTCATTAACTTCAATATTCCAACACTGAACCTTCTCTACGATACCTTCCAGATGTTCCTAATAATCGTTAGAGAGTTTATGGTAAGTGTTTGGAATGAAACATCATGAATATGGTGGGGAAACATAGCTCGCCACCACTGGCGCAGTCCTGGTATTTTGGCCATATCTCCTTTGTTACTTAACGAAATCGTGAACCGTTTGTTGGGATGGATTTGTAACGTTCGGGGCTACAACTTTGGTTCAGATAGTATTTCGAGATAATGAATGGAAAATTTTGAGTTTTTACCATGAACTTGATGCTGCATTTTGAACTCATCAAGATTTTGGAAAAACTTTGGCTATTTCTTCTTGCTCCTTCCTTAACATGCAACCATGGAGTTGAAGTTTTGTTTTTCCTTAGCTTGCTGCCGACAGAGAGAGAGAGAGGAGGGGAATGGAGTTGTGATGGTGGATGGGGATGATGATGTATAATGATGATGGTGGTGGTGCAGGTGGAATATCATAAGGAGAAAGGGGTTTTGGAGTGTTGTGGTGTAGTGGGTGTAACACCCCAACCCGCATAACCCGAATACTCGGATCAGCGAACTGGGTTGCTACTAATTTGGTATCCAAACATCATTTAACTTTCAAAATAAAACAATTTAAAACACTTAATTTAAAACAACATTTAAATATCCATCGAAGTAAATCAAACGGTTGCGGAAGCTTAATTCATAATTCAAAACACAACTTGGGAATCATGCCCGAAAAAGTAATAAGTTATTTAAATGAGAAGTAATGATTCAAAATCGTCGAACACCGCCACGCACATCTCAGCCTCTTCATCGCCCTCCAGATTTGGCTCCAAGCTCATCATTTCCTGGGTTACCTACGTGTAGCAAATAGGAAAAAAGGGCTACACGCTCAGCATTGAAGCTAAGTGAGAAATATCTAACATACATCTATACCCATAGATGATCCCACTAGCCCATATCCTCATACGATATCATGCACACAACATGCTCAACACAATCATACATCATACAGGATATAACATACGTAAACAGTAACATCATCATTCAAGAGGTACAATTTACAAGATATAATAATAAACTCTTTCCTCTTTGTTTACTTTACTTCCTTTCTGCATTCGGCTCTTAACCTATGCTAGGAAAAGCTTAACTGTATACGACTTGCCTATGGCAGTCATGACCTTCCCCTTCGGAACGAAGGTCAAGCTCAAACCAACTCGGAAGTTCCTCGTTGGGTGGGTGAGATCCCTTGTACACGTTTTTACCCGGACAGTCATTGGACCCAGCAGGTACCACATTACTCTAACTTACTAACTTATGACATAACTTGCCATTATTTCCATTCAGGTCAGTTCCTAGGGTTCATTCTAGGTATTTCATTCTTTAATTGCCAATAGTTCATAGCATACATGTTCATGCATCATACACATAATTAATCACATCCAACCTACTCAATCAGCTGTCTAACCCTGGGTATTGACACCCATGTTTATCGTCATGCAATCACACAAAGTCTCGAAATTGATCCTCGATGGAAACGACAAATACAAACTGGTTCAGGTACCTCACGGTACCCTTGGCAGTAGGGGCTACGTACCGACCCCACGGTACCAGGGTACCATCCCCACGGTACGGGGATACCGACCGTGTCATCTCACATACCTTACCGGTAGGCTGTCACGGTAGCCTCTACCGACCCGGTGGTAGGGCCTACCGCCCACCCAGCACCTAGGTGTCGTTGGTGACAGGTACCGGCAGAGAAGAACGTAACGAAACCGGGGAGGCTGGCGGTAGCCAGGTAACGTGCCAACGATACCTCCCTACCATCTGTTGCGGAGAACACCAGACTTGCACCAGCTCCGTTTCCATCCATCAAACAGCATTAGTTCCAGTAAATGCAAACAAAACAGATCATAAACCATCAAACCAACATTATCTAACTATCGCTCAATCATTCATAAACAACATAAACAAAGCATATTTCACGTATAGTCCACATAGATCAACTGTAACGATTCTACGAACGTAAGATTCAAACCTACGAATATAACCATACGTTAGATGACCACGTACTCACCTCGAATTCTACGATTAGAACTACGAGACAGTACCCACGAACAACGAAGTCGGATTCATCCTCTTCCTTCTCCTTTCTTCTCTTCTTCTCTTCTTCTTCTTCTTCCTGCGTTTGTCCTTCTACTCTGTTCCGTTCGGCGATGGTGAGACGCGAGAGGCACACGTGAGAGAGTGGGGAGGGAGTTACGTAAATATGGTGGTGTAAGCGTTTGGGACGTGTAGGGAGTATATTTATACTTTTGGGGTTTTGGGCTCCGTATTAACTAAACGTACCTGGCCTAAACGCACTCTCCGGGCCCAGTGACTCCAAATCCAAATCTGATTTCACCATTAGATTCGACCCGTCGAACCCTACACAACGGTATAATATTTATTGTTGAACGAAGAGTATTTATAATTTTCCCTGAGTCCGTCTCCATAATTAATTAATTCTGATAGGCCGGGTTTCGGGGCATTACAGTGGGTGGAGAGTAGAAAAAATGGGTTGTGGATATCTCCAAGTTTGGCTACGTGATTGAGTAGAGATTTGATAATTAAAGTTTTGGCTTTTTGCCAAAACTGAATAGTTTACTCCAAATGGTACGTGCTTTTTCGTCCAAACTGCTCCAAATTGAAAATGGATTGTGTTTTTGGAATGATACTGTCAAAACTAAAATTTTGACATAATCAAAATACTTTTCTGAGAACATTTATTTTTTTAGTGTCTGCTAAGTGATAAATTAATTTAATAATATAAAAATATATGAATTTAATCCAAATGATGACTATGGTGTTGTTAAGTGTCAAAGATTACGATTTCTAATCTTATGAAATCACTTTTGAATTGAGTTTAATTTCGGGGTCAAAGTTATAAATTTTAATATTTAAAATCGTCATATCTTGAATCTATAAATCAGATTGGTTCATAAAATGTATCGTTGAATTTGTCTCTTCGAGACATATCCATAAAAAATAAGTTTTTAACAAAAAATCATTATTTTGAAAATCCATTCATTTTTGGTCAAACGTAAAAATATTCTTTATTGGATCAAAATGATATTCAAAACTACTTTTGTTTTATAATAAATTTTAGGCCATATTTTGTGGCGTTACAACATGACCACGACTTGCACTTACAAAACAGGAATGAAGGTTTTGCTATGCATCACGAGTCATGGAGACACTGGAGATTAAAGGTTGAATAGTGTCAGTGCAGCTTTGCGGTAGAGAACCAACAATTGCTTGGTCTTGACAAAACCAAATGGCATAGCATGCGTTTGTCGTGCCATCAACGACCAGAGCCGTGAGAGTCCCATCGACATAGCCAAGGAGGTCAAGTCCAAAGAGCGGACTTGTCGCTGCCATATCGAAAAGTTTATGGTTGGTGAAAATGAGTTTTTTTATGAAGTTGAGTAACCAAAGTATCCTTGGTGATGGTGTACGCCAAGAAGGACGACGAAGGGAGTTGAAGGCAGCTGTGAGAGATGACCGAAGTTGGTGCCAGATTTTAGAGCGAGAATGCTGGATCTGGAAGGAAAGAAAAAATCTTTCGGCTTTGATACTGATGGGCCGATATCCAGTGGGCGGCCCAAATGAACCACTTATACAGCTTCGGGCCAAGCACCTATGAAATGCCCAAGCTTGGGCCGGCCCGTGGAGCTGGGCCTAGTTAACCTCAAACCAAGCGCAGCTGGCAGAGTCAATATGGAGAAGGAGACGAAGCTGATTGGCCGTTACGGAGCCGGAAAAAAGGGATCGCGCCATTGGCGGGCTAGATTGCATCGATAATGCACTACCTAAATTGCTGAGAGTTCATGTATAAATAGGGGAGACCCGAAAGGGGAAAACTCAAGCTAAATCAAGCTAATAGTACACACCCAATTCTCGAATTCTCGCTTTCGATTTTATTCTTACGATCCGCTTTGTGAATCGGATCATTCGGTGGATTTATTGTCCATCAAATTGGTGCTCTCATTGAGAGTTCGAGAATCATACTCAGAGGAAATCCTACATAGAGACGATGGTGCAAACGCGTAGTAACGCCAATGTAGGTACTGGAGTTCCCCAACAGGGGGAGAACAGCACCACTGGAGGTCAGAACCCTCCCATCACCACCGGGGAGGCTGAGGCCCTCATTCAGAGGGTTGGAATCACGGCCGAACAATTCAAAGAGGTGCTGGCCGCACTTGCGCCCAACTGCGAGGTTGTGGTGGAAGATGTGGCTGGGGGACCCACAGGCGGGAAGGCTGGACCTACAGGCTCCCAAGGAAAAAAGAAAAAAAGTAAGGCGGTCCCAGAAGAAGAAGGCGACCAAGCCTAATGGGAAGGCTGTGATGGCTGATGCGCTTTCCAGACTGGAAGAAGAGGACGACTCGTCCTCCTTCGAGCGGATGTCTGCTTTTGACCGTTTGGGAGACCCCAAGTCAAAGAAGCCTCGGACCTCTGCGTTCGAACGGCTGCAGGACACTCGGTCGGCCCGAAAAGGCGACCTGAGAGACACACTCAAGGAGAAGAGAGGGGAGTCCACAGCGACCTCCAAGGTCGGTTCTGAGGAGCGACGGACGACCGTCGGGGATAAGGGCGCAGCTGAACTGTGGAAAATGTACGAGCAGCTGGAGAAGCGGCTGGACGCCCAAAACCCCTATCGCCAGGCGGTCTTCAGTGAGGTAACGCCCTTCTCCAGAAGGGTAATGTCCTGCCCTCTCCCAGATAATTTCAAGACTCCCCAGATCAAGGCGTACAACGGGACGACCGATCCCCAAGACCACCTCGCTCGCTTCGGGGCCAACGTGGTCATGTTTGCGTATCCAGAAGAAATCAAGTGTCGATGTTTCCTGGCGACGCTGGAAGGGCAGGCTTGTGAATGGTTCCACAAGTTACCCAAGGGGTCGATAGATAAGTGGAGCGACCTGGCCCACAAGTTCTTGGAGCACTTCGCATCCAGCCGGAGACAGAAGCTCCCCTTCTCGCATCTGCTCAATGTGAAGATCCGGAAGGGGGAACAGCTCCGGGAATTCATTAATAGGTGGGAGAAGGAGGCTAGGGACGTCCAAGGGGCGGACGACCAGGCCCTGATCGCCATGCTCCAAGCTGCACTCCCCCAAGGGGATGTGCGCAAAGAGCTGCGGCGGAATCCTCTCTCAACCTATCAAGAGATGTTGGCCCGGGCGAAGTACTTGGCATTGGAAGAAGAAGATGATGAGCCACCAGTCCGGAAGGAGAAGAAAAATGGGCCACTGGTGGCAGAAGGGAAGAAGAGGAAGGACTATGGTAAGGGGCCAAACCCCACCGGGTATCATGTGAACATGCATCCTATTCATGCGGTACAGTCGTCGCCTGCTCCTCCTCACAGTCGGGAAAGCTATGGTGTGCAGGATGCACCCAAATACTGTGAGTACCACCGTAACAACACCCACAATACGTCGGAGTGCGTCACGTTGAGGAAGGAGATGGATCAGCAGATCGCTAGAGGGCCACCTCCTTGGACGGAACGACCATCCTCAGGTAACCGGACCTGGAGGAGGCCTTCAGCCCCCATAGCAGCGATCACAGCAGGAGAGGGGCAAGAAGATGGACGGCGGCACCTAGGACGAGATTGTGACGATCTAGATGAAGAGGAAAGGCAAGGTCGCCGACACCTGGGGTGTCGGTTCATTATGGGAGGAAACACGGGAGGAGATTCGGTATCCTCCTAGAAGAGGTGGAAGAACATGGTGTACCTGGCTGAGGTGCAAAGGCCGCCGCTGCCTAAGCGGAAGAAGAAGGAACCTCTGATCTTCACAGATGAGGGTTATCCCCCAGTCCTCAGCCCCCACAGGGACGCTCTGGTGATAAAGGTAGAAATCAATAATGTGGTTGTTCACCGCACTTTGGTCGATACGGGCAGCTCGGTCAACGTAATGTACAGCAACACCTTTAAGGAGTTGGGGTTGTCCCGAGGTGACCTGAAACCAATCCATACGCCGCTATCGGGGTTTACAGGGGATACGATCGAAGCTGAAGGCACTATCACGGTGAAGGCCGGGGTAGGAGATGGCACCCACCAACTCTGGGTCGACATGGAATTTATGGTAGTGCAGCTCGACTGTGCACACCATTTGATCCTGGGGCGACCAGGGTTGGAGGACCTGGAGTGCGTAATCTCCCCCGTCCACCTATGCTTAAAGTTCAATACTCCCACGGGAGTGGGGATAGCAAGGGGAAACCAAAGCCTGTCACGGTCGTGCTACGTCAGGGCGACCAAGAGGCGAGCCCGGGTCGACGAGAATGTGAGTACGATCTGCACCGCAATCCAGAAGGAGGAGGGGCGACCACGAGCTGAGCCGGTGGAGGAGGTCGAAGAAGTTTCCTTGGACCCGGCCGAACCACAGTGGAAGGTGAAGGTAGGTAGAACCCTACCGCTTGAATTAAAGGAGCAATTATTAGAGGTCCTCCGAGCATTCAAAGTGCTATTCGCTTGGGGACCAGAGGATATGCCAGGGGTCGACCCAAAAATCATCTGCCATAGATTGGCAGTGGATCCGACCCACAGGCCGGTCAAACAGAAGAAGCGTTTCCTTTCCTCCGAACGGAGGGAGTTTGTCACCAAGCAAGTGACGACCCTAGAATCCATCGGGCACATCCGGGAGGTTCGATACCCGGAATGGTTGGCCAATGTAGTCCTCGCACCCAAAGGGAGTACCTGGCGGATGTGCGTCGATTACACTGATCTGAATAAAGCTTGCCCGATGGATCCTTTCCCTCTCCCCAACATTGATCAGTTGGTTGATGAGACGGCTGGGTGTGAGCTGATGTGTTTCATGGACGCATTCAGTGGGTACCACCAGATCAAGATGGCTGTGGCGGATGAAGAGAAGACCGCTTTCATCACCCCCAATGGGGTATATTGTTACAAGGTGATGCCTTTTGGCTTGAAAAATGCTGGGGCGACCTATGCACGGATGGTGAACAAGTTGTTCGCGCCAGTGCTGGGGGATGCATGGAAGCATATGTGGACGACATGATCGTCAAGTCCAAACGGGTTGAGTCCCACGCCGGCGACCTGGAGAGAGTTTTCAAGATCATGAAGAAGTTCCAGCTTCGCCTTAACCCTAAGAAGTGTACATTTGGGGTCCAGGGGGCAAGTTCCTAGGACACATGGTCAGCCGGAGAGGAATTGAGCCTAATCCAGAGAAAGTGAAAGCAATCTTAGAAATGGAACCTCCGAGGAATGTAAAGGAGGTCCAGCCATTGACCGGCAGGATTGCTGCTCTCAGTCGCTTCTTGTCAAAGATAGCTGATCGAGCGGCTCCTTTCTTTCAGACAATTAAGAAGAGCAGAGGGTTTGTCTGGACCGAAGAATGTCAACGGTCCTTTGAAGGGTTGAAAGCATACCTCCTCTCCCCACTGGTACTTTCGAAGCCAGAGCCCGGAGAGACCCTATTTCTGTACTTGGGAAACTCTCCTCGAGCTGTGAGCTCGGTGCTTGTGAGGGAGGAGGAGGGCGTACAGCGACCTGTGTACCATGTGGCCCGGGTGTTGCGAGGGGCGGAGCAAAGGTACACAAACATGGAGAAAACCATCTTTGCGGTGGTATGTACGGTGAAGAAGCTCACCCCATATTTTCAAGCCCACCCGGTCCATGTATTATCACAAATTCCCATCGGAACACTTCTTCGAAGTCCGAATGCCCCATCACGGGTCAGCAAGTGGGGAGTGTTCCTGGGATCTTTTCAGATAGAGTTTAAGCCACGACCGGCGATAAAGGGGCAGGCGTTAGCGGATTTCGTGGTAGAATGCACTGCGAGAGAGGTAGAGTCTAGTGGAGAAGAACCCGAAGGGAACTGGTGGACCGTGTACACCGATGGGTCGTCCGCGACTGATGCTTCGGGGGGAGGTGTCGTGGCGATATCGCCAGAAGGATTCAAAGCGTACTACTCTGTGAGGTTCCGGTTTAAAGTCTCGAACAATGAGGCCGAATATGAGGCCCTACTTTGTGGTTTGAGGTTGGCAGCTTCATTAAAGGCTGAGCGAATCTAAGTCCGGTGTGATTCCAAGCTAGTAGTAGGCCATGTTACGGGAGAGTTTGAGGCCAAGGATGAGCGAATGAAGAAATATAGAGACGCCGCTCTGGAGCTGCTTAAGGCATTTGGGGCATACCGGATAGAACAGGTCCCTCGAGGAGAGAACGCTGAAGCAGATATCTTGTCAAAGCTTGGTCCGGATTCCCTAGATCATATCAAGGCGATGACTCAGGAGGAAGAGTTGCTCGAACCAAGCATCAGTCCCGGACAAGTGCTGATCATCACACTCAAAGAGGAGCCGGATTGGATTGATGAGATTACCATGTACATCCTTGACGGGTCGCTACCTATCGACCCAATCGCGGCAAAGGTGGTGAAACGACGTGCACCCAGTTACACATTGGAGTGCGGTCGATTATACAAACGGTCGTACAATGGTACATTGCTAAGGTGCTTAAGAGCAGGCGAAGCACAGAAGTTAATGGAAGAAATCCATGAAGGAATATGTTCAGCACATCAGGGAGCCTTCACGATGTCCAGGAAAGTAACCCTCAAGGATACTTCTGGCCAACGATTATTAGAGATTGTGCAGAGTATGTGCGCAAATGCAAGGTCTGCCAGGAGTTCCAAAGGGTGCCGGGGCGACCGGCGACGAATTACACCCCGATAAGCACGACGATTCCCTTTGCTCGGTGGGGCATCGATCTGGTCGGTATTTTGCCTCGGGGGACAGGGAACAACACATACCTGATGGTCGCGATCGACTACTTCACCAAGTGGGTCGAGGCCGCCCCCGTGCCAACCATCACTGCGGAGCAGATGACGAAGTTCGTCTCCAAGCAAATCTTGTGCCGATTTGGGGTGCCTCAGCAGATCATCACTGACAACGGAACCCAATTCGAGGCCGGAGGGTTCAATAAGTTTCTACAGAGCTGGGGCATAAAACACAGCTATGCAGCGGTCGGGTACCCCCAAACCAATGGGCAGGTCGAGAACATCAATCGCACCATCATAGACGGCCTCAGGAAGAAGATAATGGAATGCAAAAGTGCTTGGGTGGAAGAGTTGCCCTATATTTTGTGGACCTACAGAACCACCCCAAGGAAGGCCACAGGTGAAACCCCTTTCTCGCTCACATATGGATTTGAAGCAAGGGCTCCAGCGGAGACCTCGTTGTTAAGTTATAGAGTAGAGACGTTTGATGCTCAAGAAAATGAAGAGAACTTGAGGGCAGAATTGCACCTCATTGATGAGCGAAGGGAAAGGGCATATATGCGGGCAGAAAACTACCGTCGACAGGTCAAGTCATATTACGACCAGCGGGTGCGACCAAGGCAGTTCAAGATGGGCGACTGGGTCCTTCGGAAAAGGGAAGTCAGTCGGCCGACCAATGGAGGGAAGTTTGCTAAAAGCTTCGAAGGGCCATATATCATAAAGGAGGTGTTGGCTGATGGGACATTTAGATTGCAGACTCCAGCCGGTGGCGACGTTCCGCGAGTATGGAATGCCGCCAACCTTATCAAATTTTATCAATAGATTGTACTCCAACCATGTCTCTTTCGTGAAGTTTAATAAAACCAGTTTTCTGGCACATATTGTCTTCAATTCTCGAAAAACAAAAAAGGGAGTGACCACAAGGGATCGCTAAGCCTAAACGTCATGGTGATTCGTGCTAAGATACCCAGTGTTGGGTGAAGCGCCGAACCCTGACAAGCGACCGAGGTGGAGGGTTGTCAGGCGACGCGACTAATCAGAGAACGACGCCGTGGCAAGGAAGCCCGAGAAAACGGCTAAGTCTGGAACAAAAGATCTACTGATCGCAGGAGCGACCAGGGGTCAATGGCGACGCCATGAGGGTAAAGTAACCCGGAAGTGGCTAAGTCAAAATAGGCGAGGTATTCTCTGATCAGGGTCTGAGGGAACCTGAACGCTTAAAATGAGATGCGGAAGAGAAGAAGATGGAACTTGTAAGTAAACAGGTGACATCAAAATACATTCATAAAAATGTTCATTACATTCCAAGGATAATCTCTTGCATCCACCATGTTAGACAAATGTGCAACTCTAGAGGGGGGGGTGAATAGAGTTGTTTTCAAGAATGTGCGTTTTTCGCGTGTGTGAAATAAAAAATTGCAGGAATAAGTAAAGAGAGTAAGGGAAAGAAGAACACCGGGATTTATACTGGTTCACCACCTCGTGGCTAGTCCAGTCCTCCGAGAGACTCTCTCGAAAGTCCTACTAATCTTCAAGCTTCAACGGGTGCTTGAAAAACCGGTACAACTTGAGAACTTGAATCACATAAGCCTCACTTTCTTACAACAACAAGACTTGAGTCACACAAGTCTTATGAACAACACTCAAATGAGATTGAGTTTACAACACAAGAATGAAAGCTCACACAATTGAGCAAAGTAGTGTTTGAAGAATTAACGCTCTATGGATGACAACTTCTTTAGCACTCAAAGAAAATATTTCTAACTCTCAAAAATAATGTTTTGATGAGGAAGATGAAGCAAGGGATGACAATGGCTCAATGAGTATTTGGAGTGCAAGAGAGTAGTGTGGAGAAGAAGGAGAATGAAGGATTAAATAGGCTGAGTGAAAATAAATCCGTTGGAGCAGGCTGAGAATATGCACCAGATAAAATTAATCGATTAAAGTAAAAGTTTAAATCGATTACGGTACACAGAAGCGAAATAGCCTGAAAAGAAAACTGACTCATAATCGATTAAATGAAGACAAGTAATCGATTAGGAGGCTCGGTACAAACTAATCGATTAAAGAAGGAGAAATAATCGATTATCGATCAAAGTTGAGCAGCCCAACGAACAGCTCATAAATCGATTAAGGTGAAGCAATAAATCGATTAGGAGGTTCGGTACGAACTAATCGATTTTCTTAGAAGAAATAATCGATTAAGAGTTGAAACCTGAAAAATTGCGCTGGATCTAATCGATTATCTTAAATGATATAATCGATTAAAATGAAAATAATGCGCAAACACAAAGGGCCCAAGCCAAGTGCGATTGGAAGTAGTTTGGCTTCTAACTCGTTATTTGGGACAACGAGAAAACAAGGGACGCTCCTCGGATAATATCTCCCTATTCAATGAATTTTGAATTTTGAGTAGGGGAGAAAAAAAAGAGTCCAAAAATTATTTTGTGTGTCAAACAATACACGAAAAATATTTAAAGTAAATTTTTCTTACCAAAAAAATTTGTATATCCTTAAAATGTTTTTAAGAGCTTTTGACACACTATTTTGAAACTGACTTGGTAAAATATTTTTAGAGAAAAAATAATTTTTCAACTGACTCAAAAATTTAATAATTTTTATCCCTCAAGATTAATTGTTTATGCAAAAGTTATTGTCATCCTTACAAAAATTCCTAGACTCAATAAAAATAAAAAGTCTTCGGAGTCTTCACTTCACTTCAAAAAATCTGCGTAGGGTTGAGCGTTGAATTTTATCGCTGAAACTTCTTGATACCCTTCTTTGCTTTTCTCGGTACGAAAAATAAATTTTCGATTGTAGATTGAACTTAATCATCCTGTTTGTCATTTATCAAAACAAAAAATAATCCAAGAATAATAAAGGGGTTTGAACTCATGTCCAACAATTTCCCCCTTTTTGATAATGACAAACATAGTTGAGAAAAAGTAAAGTAAGAGTTCAAGAAATACTTCCCTTCATTAATTCCCCCTGCAAGATTAGAGAAGTGCAGAAAAAAATGATCGGAGTGATAAGCGGAAAACAATTTTGAAAACAAAGTTTTCTCAACTATCCTTCCTTCCCCCTTTTGGCATTATCAATAGATATCCTTCCCCCTTAATCAATGCCGGGATTTTTAAGGATAGTAAAAAAAAATTTGCAAGAGTTTTCTTTAAAAAAAACTTTTAATAGCCACAAAGGGACAATATGTTCTAATAGAGAACCAAATTGTCAAACCAACAAACAATGCATAATTAGCAACATCATCATCCACCAAAAGAGTTATAACAACAATAGCAAATAGCAATGTATCATAATAAGTTAAGACAGAAGAGAAAAATAATCAAAGAGAGTTCGCCGGACGAGCTCCTCCGCTGAAGCTGTGACGCGGGCCACGGTAGGAGCGGGAATGCTCGAAACGAGTCATCCTCTCGTTGAGCTGGCGAACGTCGTCTCGAATGCAAGTGAGAGTATCAAAGATTCTCTTCACCCAAGAAGGTTCTGGTGCTTCTTCTCTCGGGCGAGTCTTGCGTTGACGAGTGACGCGATTCGTGGTTCGACTTCCTCCGGCTTGAGATGACTCAGCTTGAGTCTCGCTTTGGCTCTCTTCTTCTTCTGTGACTATCAGGTCCAGATTTGGTGCAGCATCGCCCTCCTCACGGTATACGATCCGGGAAAACTTGGCTTTAGTGATGAAACAAGTCTTCTTAACCGGCACCTGAGTGTCCCGAGTAAAATCCACTTTGCTACGAGCAAGGATATGCATGATCGGGATGGCAAAACGGAGATGGGAAAAACGAGTACCATCACTAAGTGCAACGACAAAGAAGTGAACCCAATCAAATTTGACATTGTTCAACAGGACGTGAAACAAACGAATATCATCCTTGTTGACAACGCCATGGTTCGAATCACGGGGCAA